TTTGGCTGATGGGGCATGAAGCTGTTCATATTGCTAAACTAAGACATTGTAGAGGACTTCTGGAGTCAAACATACGCCCATCTGGATGTGCCTTCGTTAAAGATAAGCTTTACTTGTTTTGAACCTGCTAGTTGGCTAAATCTAAATGGCTACAATTGGTGTCTAGCAACAAATGGCAAAAATTTAACAGTAGCAACATTACTTAATAGATTTAGTGGAATCTAAATAATGAAGCAGGTGGTCAACATACTAAGCAACTATCTTAGAAGATTCTATTATCATATACACGCTAAGATATTTAAGTGCAAAGATGTAAATTGCTTTTTAGTAATGAAGATGAAGATCAGAATGTAAATGCTCTTATTACACTGTACAGGATGATGCAAGATAGGAAGATGTTATTTTATTCTAATATGGTTGGTCATGTAAAGGGTAATTCTTCTAGTGTTTCTAATCATAATTCTTTTGACGTTCAAATAGAGGTAGATAGTATGGATAATTTAAAAGGAACACATATTGGAGTTATAGTCATTAGAAATAAAAACTTAGCTTGAGAGTTAGGTTGTTTTCATGAGGAATTTGCTACCACCACGTTACACTCTGTTGTAAAATTTCTTTGTTATAAGCTTAATCATAGTTGGCACAAAGGGTATAGAAAGGTGCAGGTAGTAGTTAACTATGCAAAGCTTTATAATTTGCTAACTGGAAATACATCTTAGATATAAAGTGAGCTGGAAATCGATTCCATGTTCAGTCATCTCCTTTTGAAAGATTGGAATGTGGTCTCTTCCTTCTCTTGTAATGATCCTTCTATATATATTCGTGATATTATTAGATTGGGCATGGATAGCAATCTTTTTTTTGTGCCTTCCATCATCAACCCATACTAATTTAAGGTGGAGTTGATTTTGAAAGGCAACTGCTTTGTTTTCATCTTTTGAGTCCTGATCCTTACACTATTTCCTATTGATAATTTATTTGATCTATTTTTCATTCAAAAAAAAAGTTATAACCAATCAAGAGAGAGAAGCATAGAGAAAAATACATTCACATCTACACAAAGCATTCTTAATAAATCAACTTCTATAAATTTGTTCACTACTGGATCATGCTTACATTTGGTCATAAGGTTTGTAATATCTAATTCATCCTTTTCAATGATTGGATCATTAATTATTTTTCTAATTAGAGAGTTATTAATTTCGTCATTTGTAATAACTGTTTTTGCATATTCACAAAGCAGTCTTGGTAAAATGATGTTTTTGAATTTACTCATTGTTGGATCAAGCTTAAATTTGTTCATTATGTTTGTAACATCCAATTTTTCCTTTTCAAAGATTGGATCACTGATTAGTTTCATGATTAGAGAGTTATTAACTTTGTTCTTTGTAACAATCATTTTCACATTATTACAAAGTAATCTTGGTAAATTTTCATTTACAAATATGTTCACCATTGGATCTAGTTAAAATTTTCTTATCAAGTTTGTAACCCTCAACTCGATATTCTCAATGGTTGGATCTTTGATTCGTTCTCTTATGTGAAATTTATTAACTTCATCCTTCATATAAGATTTAACCTAAAACTTCAAACCTAATAAAGAATCCTTTGGTAAAATAATGGATTACGGAGACTTAAAGTGAGTTTAGTTAGAATCCTGGGGGTCTCATGAATTTAATAAATTTAATAAAAACTCTAAACTAATTATAAAATAAATTTAAAGTGTTATGTTAGGTTATGGATAACGTTAGGCATATAGCTGTGCCTAGTAATGATAAACTTTATGATGTTAATAATAGATTAATATTCTGTAGCTGTTGTGTGTGATTGGAGACCTTGTGAAAGCATGTTGTGAGTGTCCTTTTGATTGACTCAATGGGTGGAAGTAATCAAGAACCTAAATTCCTTCATATATTAATTCTAGCATTTATTATAGGAAAAATTGGTGAAAAGGACCTTGTTAGAAAAAAAATTAATCCCAAGGATTAAATGTAATTGAAAGACCAAAGCTAATATTTTATTCATTAAATAATTTAATTAGAAAGTCTTGCATCCCAAACTAGTAGCCTTGCTTTTGATATGTCTCTTTTCCTCCTTCTCTCCCTTTACACTTTGTTGTCGCATTATCAAACATGTTTATTTCATGCATGATTAATTATATAAAATTAATAATATATTATATTATTTATAACACGTACATAATAGACTCATGAATTTTTTAAAATCAAATAAATGGGAAAATGTGAAATTAATTATTATTAATTATTTTATAAAAGAGATAAATAGAGTATCAAGCAACATGTCATTAACTATATGACACTATTTAAAAATTAACTTTTGTCCAACTAAAAACCAAACAAGTACTTAATTTATATTATTCAAGAATATCATTTTTGAAATTGTATTCTGAAATCTCTCATCTCAAGTTAACAGTCCTTTTTAATACATGCTTAGAATTAGGAAATAAATAGATTTATTTCTTTTCTTCATTTAAAAATTTTGAGATTATGGATTAATATGGTACTATTTTTGCTATCTCAATGTGCTACAATTCAAACAAGTGACATTGTGATGCAACACACACTCACATACACTTGCACAAATTTAAAACAAAGGAGAATATGCAAGGGAGTTTCAAGACAAAGAAAGAAAGAGGGGGAATAGACAGAGATGGATGGGGAGAGAGAGAGAGACAAAGATAATTTAAGGGGAGAGAAGACAGCGTGAGGGGAGAAGAGTTAGCAAGCTAGGCAAACAAGTATTTATAGAAAAGGATTTCATAACTAAGCAGAAAAATGTTTCCTTCATTAAGAAGGAAACTAACAACTTGCAAAAGTACACCTACTCCCAACAATCCCTAAAGTTTCCTTACAGAAGCTACATAAAGGCTATTTATAGATGTCCATAACACTGTGAAGTAATCTCAAAATAAAATATAACATACTCGTCTGCTCTTGTATATTGTCATATTCTAAAACTAAAACCATAATTTAATTCAATTTATAAGTTATTAAATGATCGGATTATTTTGTTTTTGTTCGTAGTTGAACAACAAATAATAAGCGTGCCAGAGATGTTGGGTCTCAATAGATAACGAAAGGATCCTGAGTTCTCTTATCACAATTCACTTGGATGTAAAAATATAATAGGCTTTGGTAGAACAAGTGTGTAATTTTATTAAAGTATTTAAAAATTACAGACTACAAACTAAGAACTGAAAAGGGCTAGTAAATGTAAATTATGCGAGTCTTGATTAAGTGTTGACTGGGTTTCTATGTTTCTCTTCTTTCTATTTATAGTGTCTGATAGCAGAAGCCTTTTCTTTGAGACTTAGCACGTTTTATCGAAGATTTAGGAATCCTGCAAAACTTGTGGCACAATCTCTTCATTTTGATCAATAGCCCATTTCACCGAACTACTTGGGCGTAGATTTCGGCATCACTTAAGATAGTGTCTTCGTGCCAACGGTCTGATATTTGAAGCTGACGGAATTTTAACATGTTTATGTGTCGTGGACTTTTTGAGCTTCGGGGCCGACCTCTTTTGTTTATATTGGGCCTAACGTTTCAATTACTCAACCCAACTAGCCCCATGACCTATTTGAGTAACGTTTCATATTTAGCCCAAACAGGTTTAAATTAAAATTTTCAAACTACCTATAAAAAATAAGATAGAAGAAGACAAAAAAATAATATTATATTATTTGTTTACCTTTTATTTTTTATTTGAGGTTATATTTAAAATTTCACTTATTTTTATTCTTTGTATTTTATTGTATTGGTATTGATGAGATTAATAGAAATGACTTTTAAATAAGATTGGAGGGAGTAAAAATTAAACACTAAAAGCAGCTTTCCTTCCCATGCGAGCTTTCTCAAAATATATTAGTTCTTATGTCTCATCACACTGTGCCAAGATAACTTCTCCATTCCACCAGCTCAGTTTTATCAAGTTGGCATGCTGTTTCTTTTTTTTTTTTTTAGCATATTAGAGTCATTAGAGTGATATGTAGTCAAATTTGGTTACAATCCATATTGTAACATATGAGAGACTAGATTGTAATTTTAGGAAAATGTGAACTATTAAGTGTCTGTTCATTGATGATGAAGCGTATGTTGCGCTTGATGCATGTCCGTCTCCTTTTAATGTTAAGCAATTACCCTCCAAGCAATTTGTTCCTTTTTTAGTATTTGTTTTGGAGCTGATAGCTTTCGTCTTTTGGTTAAGTAGTAGTTTGATGTCGTTTATGGTTTTTGAATTCTAGTATTTCACTTGTAGATATTATGCTGAAATAATGTATTGGCATTAAGTGCTAGGATTAGGTTCCTTGTAGATATCATAACAACATCTGATTCCTTCGCTTGTGCAAAGGCCCTATTAGATCTTCGGCCTTTCTTAGTGAAGATGTTGCGAAAATTATAAAGCTCCATCCTCCTCGGTGGTTCACAGTGGGTAGTGGTCATCCTCTGTGGTGGTTCATGGTGGGTGGGGATCCTCCTCCATTGAGACTAGTGATTGTTGACAGATCTAAAAGAAGAAGGTGGATTCTCGTTGGTGATGGAGGAAGAGGGAGCTGCCATCTAATATCGCTAGACGAAGAAGAAGAATGTGAGGAAGACCAGTCTACATCTAGGTGAAGGTGGGTCATGGGTGAAGGGGTAAAATGGAGAGAGAGTATTGAATCGAGATTCCATATAAAGCATGACAGAATCGGATTCTAGGAAATTTCCTTGAATCAAAATTACTAAAAATCATATTTACTGCACATCAAACGTATTACTTATCAATGAATTCCATTTTCAATATTATTTTTTCCTTGTTAATTCCAACCTATTAAACATAAATTATTATTACTCATTCCATGAACCAGTAACAAAGCAAAAAGCACGCCTCGCCCCTAAATTGATTAATCGAGTGGGATGTGATGAACCTTGCATGACAAAATCATTTTTCACGCATCCATTACTACCTTGGATTCTTTCGGGTCGTCCCACGAAATACACCATACACGTGATATGCAGGTGCAACGTATCTGGACATTCTACCTTGACGAGATTAAAGGCCTCCCCTCTCTTCCCAAATCGAAGACTTCTACTTTACCACAATATTATTGCTCTCAGCATTTTCGGAGGAGATTAACCTGGAATTTCCCATCTTTCCCTCCGGCCATGTCCACCGACGAAGAGCTCGTTCCCAATCACCATGACGCCACTCAGAAGACCCAGCAGCCTTTGCAGGTGAAGTGAACTCAACTATTCTTTCGTCGATATGCGAACTATTTTCAATCTTCGATTTATGATCAGGGCGGGACATAATTTCAGATTGGTTTCGCTTTTTTCTACTTCTGGCTTGATCAGTTCACGTCAGTTTAAGTTTAACTTAAATTTGGTTTCACTCTTTGTATTTCTGGTTTATTCTATTTGTATCAGTTTCGGTTTTCATTTTGGACTTCTTTCCCCCAGAAAGTTTTCGTTTTTAGTGTTACCAGACCTTCAGTCTTTGGACATTTGGACTTAATTTAGTACACATTCACCCGTGTAGCTCATCTTGCGCGGTCAATCTTCTGTTTCATTTGTTTCGAGAAAATGCATCTGCGAAGATGGCTATAATAATGGTTGGGCCGTCTATAGTCATTATTGCGTGTGGTTTATCCTCTCTTTTCGAGTTATTACTTGCTTTTATATACCACGAAGGTATCAGCAACTCGTGGCTTCATTGTATTTCTTATGTTGATACCACGGTCAACATGCTCTAGATTTTTATTTTTATTTTTGCTTTACTCATCATGCTTCTGAGTTATTTTTCCATGCACCTCTAAAATGCTGATGAGTGTACCGTGAAATATGTGGTTCATTATTTTATTCAATGCGGTTGGTCTAAGATATTGATGTTTACTGCCAGATGAGATGCCTGAACTTTCTTATGTTACTATTGATCTCATGGGATCAAACATATTACTTATTTCTTCAAAATTGTATCATGATGCAGTGTCTGTTCGAATCTGACACATTCAATCCCTATATGTTTGCCCTGTTTTAATCGTTGTTTTAGTGCAATATCTTTGCTTCTGTATCAGTTAGTTGATTGGTGAATGGCATATTCATTAGCATTTCCAATATCAAAATTCAAAACAACTGATTGAAGATGCCAACTTGTTTAGCTGATGATGTATTTGCAATTGATGCTAGGCGTGGATTGATTATTGCCTGGTATGAAGGGAGGATTTTGAGTGTTAGATTTTAATGTGTATCTAAGTTTAGTGGGCAAAAAAGAAAGAAACAAAACAAACACTAGCCATGTTTTTTTTTTCCGCCTGAATTTGTTCGTGTTGAATATTGCTTATTCTTGTCATTTATGCAGGTTGCAAAGCGCTTGGAGAAGTTCAAAACAACAATCTTCACCCAAATGAGTATGCTTGCCAACAAACATGGGGCCATAAACCTTGGTCAGGGATTTCCCAACTTCGATGGCCCAGATTTTGTAAAGGAAGCTGCAATTCAGGCCATAAGGGATGGGAAAAATCAGTACGCCCGAGGTTCTGGAGTTCCTGACCTGAACTTGGCCATTGCAAATAGATTTAAGAAAGATACTGGGCTCACAGTGGACCCTGAGAGGGAAGTTACTGTTACCACTGGATGCACAGAAGCAATTGCCGCAACCATGCTGGGATTAATAAATCCCGGGGATGAGGTTGTCCTGTTTGCTCCTTTTTATGATTCTTATGAGGCCACACTTTCCATGGCTGGTGCCAAAATAAAATGCATCACTTTGCACCCTCCGGACTTTGCTGTCCTTGTTGAAGAACTGAGGTCTACCATCTCAAAAAGTACTCGTGCCATTCTCATAAATACACCTCACAACCCAACTGGAAAAATGTTCACACAAGAGGAGCTCAATGCTATAGCATCTCTATGCATTGAGAACGATGTTCTGGCTTTTGCTGATGAAGTTTATGATAAGTTATCTTTTGATATGGATCACACTTCCATAGCTTCTCTTCCTGGAATGTTCGAAAGGACTGTTACTATGAATTCTTTGGGAAAGACATTCTCGTTAACAGGGTGGAAGGTCGGATGGGCTATAGCACCCCCACACTTGACATGGGGTCTGCGACAAGCACACTCTTTCCTCACGTTTGCCACCTGCACTCCCATGCAGTGGGCAAGTGCAGTGGCTCTTCGAGCGCCAGATTCTTACTTCGTGGAACTCAAGAGGGATTATATGGCAAAGAGGGAGATTTTGGTGGAAGGATTGAAGGCTGTTGGTTTTAAGGTGTTCCCATCCAGTGGAACTTACTTTGTTGTAGTGGATCACACACCTTTTGGACTAGAAAATGATGTCCAATTTTGTGAATATCTAATTAAGGAGGTGGGAGTGGTGGCAATTCCTACCAGTGTATTTTACTTGAATCCGGAGGAGGGAAAGAATCTGGTCAGATTTACTTTCTGCAAGGATGAAGACACTTTAAGGGCTGCAGTTGAAAGAATGAAAGGAAGACTGAAAAGAAAATGATGCAGATAAGTCATGGGATGGATGTTTATGTTGCAGCACGGAAAATATTGTGTCAGGGGCAGTTTTCTCCTCTGGGAGCCTTTATAGTAGGATAGTAGTAACTTCTGTAGGCTTGAAGTGAGAACCAGCAGATGCTCAGGAGTCCTAGTGATTATTATCAAGTGCTTTTCATAATTCCTCGCATTTTATCGAGAAAGATACCCCTGCTCCCTAGCATCTTATTTCTTGCTGGTGACAAATGAAGGATAGGAATGATATATATAATAATCAATAATAACCAGGATCATGAATTCATGAGGAGGAATCACGAACTCTTTTCAGTTAAGGTTCAAGTTTCTTCTTGTTGACAGTTAGTGCATTTTCGTTTGTTGTCTCAGCTCTTAATCCCGGCATTTTCTTTGTCCGGGGGGGGGGGGCGTGTTAGATTCCAGTATGTTATTTTGTCGGCCGTTGACCTTCATGAGGCGTAACAGCAGTAATGTTCTTGAGGAGTAGCGATATAGAGCGCACCATACACTGACCCAATTTTAACTCGTTTGGCAAGCTTGAAAAGAAAACGAAGAAACTGACAGGAATCAAATAGAGAGATAAGTTAAAATGGCATGACCTGCCTCTCAGTCACACTGATTTCTCGGTTTGTTTTGGGGGTTTATGGGCATGATGATGTAAAGAACTGCGCGCAGTGGGTGGTATGTCTTATCGAAGTTATAATTGCTGCAATAGGATGTTGCTGTGGAGTAAGTGCCAATGGAGTTCGCAAAAACCCAAATTTGTAAAGTTGTTTGTCAGTCATGAGAGCAGGATTGGTAATGAAGCTTGAGGTGTTTTTGGTGGGCTGCGTTGCTTTTTCTTTCTTTTGAGGAGTGGGAAAAAGAAGAAAGGATAATCCTTGGATCGCCAAGATTTTTCAAAACCCAAACAGCTAAATAAACCCCTCGTGCATTTGCCCGTATCTTATCCTCCATCACTTCGATGTTACGTGAAAGAATGATACATGGAACTTTCATGATGCTGTTCAATGAAAAGGGCTATGTTAGTAAGGCCCACAAATTTATATCTCATCATGAGCCATACCCATTTCCCTCCTAGGCCTGCCTGACCCACGTCTTCTTTCCACTTAACGCTCCAAGGTTTTCCATTGCTTTCGGTTCCAGATAAAAGTCAGCCATTCCCCTTCCCTGTTATGATTATTATTTGTGGTTTAGGCACGAACACTTAGCTCAAAAAAAAAAAATAATAATAATAATAATAAAAAGAGTGAGAATGAAGCAGTAATATTAGAATATTACAGAAAAATAACGGTCTTCTCTCTCAACCAGAGCTTGAGTTGTTGCATGAACTGTTATGAATTATTGTATCTATGAAGTAAGTAATGATGTGGTTTAACTTTGATGAATTATTTGTGTTGGCTTTGACCCTTGACAAGAAGGTGAGAGAAGGCTTTAATAGGGAAGAAAATAGGAGTCATGTATTTTAAGAATTAGAGCAGTCTAATCATGAGGTTTGACTCCATTCGATCCGCATTACTTGAAAGTTTAAATCCAGAATAATTTCCAAACATTGTTTGGCAATAAATAAATAAAAAAAAAGAATTCAGCTAATCATATTTTCCTTTAGACTTGAGGATGCATATTTGAAAATTGTGCGAATGGCAGTCATCCTTTGGCACAGGCGGTTTTATCAAGTTTCAGAACTGATTCTTGTTGGAATTTAAACATCGTTTGAATGGGAGAAAATGAGGGGACACAGTGTGGAAATTCCATGGTGACCACTGATGAATGATGCAACTTATTTTCCATACCCTCTCGTCCTTGTTATCTAACTTGCGCTTCTTTCAAAAAAAAAGTGAGTTGATATCTTAATTCTTAAAAATATTTATATCTTTTCATTTATATCCTTGACTGAAATATTTAAACTACTCTCGTTAATTTACATTAATTTCATTAATTCTAGGGTATCACTGTGAAAATGTAAAATTTACCTAATATTGTGGATTAAAGGATGCTTACAGAAAACTACTTAGTGTCCGTTTGGTTAGGCTTTAAAATCAATTTTTTTGTTTGAAATCAATTTTTAAAATAAAATTACCCAAACAGCTGAAAAAAGACAAAAATTGATTCTAACACATAATGCGCGTTTTTTCAGATGGAATCGGCTTTTGTCAAAAGTTTATCAAAAAAATATTGGAGAAAATTACAAAAGAAGGCCCATGAAAAAATTACAAATAAACACATAATTTAATAAAAATAAAATCAAACTCTCTTCTCTTCTCTTCTCTCTTTTTTTTTCCTTAATAAACTTTAAATTTTGTATCCTCAAAAAATTAATGTTTGATATTTAAGAATTAAATTATATAGTAATTTATATAACTAAAATTGATTCTGATTAAATTATCCAAATATTTTTAATTTTGTTAAAATTAATTTTAGAAAAACAGTATCCAAACACATTACTTTATAACATAATCAATTATGATTAAAATCTACCACTTAATTAATTATTTTCATAATCTATTATACCTAACTAAAATCCAAACGAACCTTTATTTTGTAGTTTAGAGGGAATACGTTTCATGCAATGTATGAGGTTCACATTAATTGGTCTTATGCTATAAAGTATGAAGAAGTGATGGGAAAAAGTAGCTGTTTAATGTAAAGCTAGGAAGTAAGTTCATGCCAAGGGAAAATTTCTGTCTGGTTCTGATAATTCAACAGATTTAGAGATGCAAAAAGCTTTCTTGCTGTGGCTATTAATCAAGCGGCAAAAGCTAAGTGTTGCGATATGGCACAAGGAAATGTCACCCATTATAGCTTTAACTATAAATTAGCACAAGTTTGTATTGCATCCAGTTCAAACAATAAATTATATTGTACTGTTCATAACTTATAAATGTCAAAGCCTGTAAAAAATTTTATCTCCTTTTTAAACAAATCAATCATACACGGCTACTCATTCTAACGTTTTATATATATATATATATATATAGAAAGAGAGAGAGAATGGTGATGCACCCATTCATTCTTACATCATTTGAGATTAAAACTCATAATCTTTCCCCTCTTGAGGGACTGGGGTGTCATTGAATCAATAAACTGACAAATTTTTTATGTGAGCGTACAGTAAAAGATAATGTAAGGTTGTGTATATATATTTATTAAAAAAAAAGGATAATATAAGGTTTAACCAGATATTAGTACAAGTTGCCTTAAGGGGAAAGGGTAATTAGCCTTGGAGAAACGAAGTCAAGGGCGTCCTAACCGCTAAAGTGCATAGCATTTCTTTTTCCCCCGTGACGTGGTGGAAAATACCATATAATAAATAGAATATTTAAATTCAGACACTGACATAATATATAACAAAACTTTCAACTCGACGAAAATTTTCAAAATGAAAAAGTGTGGGACGGGAAATGAAGGCGCGACCAACATTTAATTTTTTTTAAAAAAATTTTATACTTAACTTTATATAATTAAAGTGATTGTTTCTAATTAAATTAATATATGTAGATATTTTATATATTATGTATTAATATTATCAATACATTATTTATTCTATAACAGACTATTGCTATTGATATTATCAATACATTAAAACTCTGATTGAATAAAAGCATGCGAAGAAATATGAGATGTGGACGAACAGCAGTAAAAGGCATGAAGGTGGATTAAAATGAATGATGCATTTAAGTTCATTGTATCTTTCCCTAAATTATGTTGCGCGTGCTGAGGCGTGAGCTATCTGTATCTTTCTCTACTTCTTTCTTTTGGTCCCCAGACACATTTTTACCCATTTGTTGAATATCAGTCTCCGTTCTCACTCTTTAACCTCTAACGTTAACCTGGCCACTTCAATCTTTCACCACATCCCAATTCCAGAACTCCCACGCCACTTGAATTGAAGAAGCACAGTATTCACTCTATTCACCTATTTCTCTGGTGTACAGTACTGGCCAAGGATGGAAACTTGCCCATTTTTTGTCTCCTTACAAATTTGAAACTTCACTTCCCCCCTTTTTCGGCCGGCTGAAGGTTAAATTATTATTTTTTAAATTTTTGACCCACAAAGATAAAATTAATTAAAAATTTGGAAAGAAAGCATTAGTTTCAGCAAACATAAATAAGAAGTGTGAGACGGCGATAAACGCAGTCTCTCTTGTGTTTGGAGACCAACGCAAAAGAAAGACCGTAATGCATTCCTCGCTCACCGTGCTGCTTTTTTTTTTTTCATTTCAAACTATAAAACACTTTAAATAAAATCATACATGTTAATAAATTTTATTAAATACATTTTACAGCTTTAAATTTTTAACCCAAAAATATAAATTTAAAAAAATCTTTTATTTAATACTTTAATAATGAAATAATATTTAAAAGAGAGAATATATAAAAAATATAATATTAAAAAAATTTAATTAATAAAATTTTATTTTTATAAAAATGTTTTATATTTTAAATATTAAATATTTTTTAAAAGTGTTTTATAATTTGAGATGGAAATAATATCATTTTCAGGGCAAGAGTAAAAAATATAAATACACATTTATAAAAGAAGAACCAATTCAAAAGCATTGCTGCTAACCAACTTTGAAATCTCATAAACAATCGGTTAGATGACAATCAACGCTGATTTAATTAATTAATTAAACCAGGCGTGAGTACCAATCCATCTAAAGTTCTTTGGCCCATGCCAAAAGGTTTGACTGTGTTTATGAACTTCAGAATAATATATACTTTTGATTTAAATTACTTACAATAATTAAACAAAATGATATTACTGACATTCCGGTACTATATTGTGAGCATCTTTTAGTAATACTGGACTACTGCATTCCCCAGGATCTTTTGATGCGCGCCTATTAAAAAATAATAATTATATTATTAAAATTGTTTTAACAATATGTATTTCACCAAGATTTTAATATAAACTAAAGTTAACTTTGCCCTTACTAAGAAATGTTAGGTATAGCATTAAAATTATGAAAAAATAAAATAAAATGCAATGAATTCTCTTTTGTTTTGCTAAAATTACAAAGAATTTCCATCAGAGGTTTTAAAAGACTTAATTTTGTTTGTTTACAATTATGTTAAAATTTTTGAAATGAGTAATTTTCCCTGAAAGTTTACTCTCTCTCTCTCTCTCCAAATTTATAAAAAAAAAAATAAAGGTTAATATGTAATTTAGATCATAAACTATATGTTCATAAGCGCTTTAAATTCTAAACTTTAAAAAAATATATTTTGAATCCTACATAATTAAAGTTAAAATAATTTGGCTCATACTGTTAACTTTTAACAAATATCCATTAAATTTATTTAAAAAAATTATACTTGAGACCCCAACTTGACAAACGTTTATTTAAGGTTAACGATAGGTGTGAAATTATCTCAATTTTAATTATTTATGATTTAAAATAAACCTTTTTAAAAGTTTAGGGCTCAAACCAACCCTGAACTTATAGTTTAAGGTTTAAATTATATATTAACTCGTGATAATATTACAAATTTTTTTAAATATGAAAAGAATAAATAAAAAAACATAAATGGTAATGATGATGAGGATGGAATTATATAAAAGAAAGTTATAAGTTGTAATAACAAGTAAAGCAGTTTTTCATAGAGACTATAGTAGGGTTGAATGAGATGGTGTCGTGTTGAGTATTTTTGTTCTTTTTAAGTGGGGTTTTAACATGTTATTAGTGGTAGCAATAGAAGCGTGACATAATCTTTCATTATAAGCGCACTTTCATTGTTTCTTGTGTGTTATTTGGAGTAATAGAATCTCATAATAATACTGGTAAAAAAATATTATCATTCTTTATTAGAAAAAAATATAGAATAGATTCTTCTTTATATACTTTTTTCTTCGTCTTTTTATTTATCATAAAAATATTTAGTTCTATTTTATAAATTTTTACCTTTATCGATTAATTCAAATCAAAAAACTTACATGCTCGTTCAAAATCTTTTTTAAAAATTGACATAATATGCAAAATACACTTGTTTTTTGTTATTGTTAAATTATTATTGATTAAAGTGCATTTTTTAAAATATAAAAGGGTTAATATATAATTTAAACCTTAAATTATAGGTTTAGGGGTGACTTGAACCCTAAACTCTTAAAAAGGTGCATTTTAAACCCTGTACAATTAAAGTTGGAGTAATTTCACCCTTATAGTTAACTTTTAACAAACTTTTGTCAAATTAAGGCTTAAAGTGTAATTTTTTTTAAATGAATTTGGTAGACATTTGTTGAAAGTTGACGGTATAGATGATATTGTCTCAACTTTAATTGTTTAGAATTCAAATTACCTCTAAATCTATTCAAAATTTAAATTTCATATTAATCCAAAAAACTATAAATAATTTAAATTTTTTGTGTTAAAAATAATGATATTTAAAGAAAAAATAAAAATAAATTATATTGAGTAATTTATCATGTTAAATTTTTATCTCACAAACTTTTTAACGGGATCTTTGAATATTATTTTAACAAATTTATGTGCTTGATTTTTTTAAAAATACTAAATAAATATATTTACACAATTAAAAAACTTAAAATATAAATAAAATAGTAAAAACATGCATCTATTTTTTTGGTAATTTAATAATTTTCAGATAATATTTTCATTTAACGAGAAATATTTTGATCTAACATATGTAACTTAATGATCAACTAATGATTAAGTGGATGGAAGTAAAATTTTAAAAATAGAGATTGTGTTTTGTAACTATTCTTATTAGAGGAGGTTTGCATAAATTTCAAAAATAGAAAATAATTATCTGTAATTAAGATAAATAGAGAGGGTTAGAGTATTTTACCCCTATTTGCAATTAATAATAATAATAATAATAATAATAATAAATTTCTATCTAAGAATTCAAATGAAAATAAGTAAACAAGGAATAAAAATAAAAAATTATTATTATAACTTTTGTATATTAAGAATAAAAAAATTTTAATTTTAATTTTATATTAAGGATAGAAAAGATTATTGATAGAAAGAAAAAGGACTGTAAGGAGTAGCTTTTCAATTTTTATTTTTTTAAGATTAATAATTATAATAAATTATTATATAGAAACAAAAATAATAAACGATGGCAAAATTAAAAAAATCAATCAGTCTAGTTTTATTTTATATTAAAGATTTTTTAAAAACCCGCTCTGTTTTCTTTATATTAAAAAAATGAAAGGAGCAGTTGGGGGAAAAACTGGAAGGAGTAGAAATTTGTTGTGCTTCAACCATCGACCAAATTCTATACCCTCAGCAATCAACAGTGTCAAAATACAATCAAATCAACAAGCATCCATTTATGGTCCGGAGGATATGATTCGGAACGGGAGCTATCCCATTTTGGAAATCTCAAAGGCTGTGTTTGGATTGGTATAATTAATCATGAAAAAATTAATTAACATGATTGATTTTGAATATAATTATTTATGTTATGTGATATATAATTAATTTATAAAATTAATTAATAAGATTGATTTTAATTAAAATTGAAGAGTAGAATTGAAAACCAAGCAAAGCCATTATTTTGTGAAAACATATCTAAACATTCCTATTATATATTAAAATTAATTATAAATCAAAAACTATGCTTCTCAAAAAATATTCAAACACTCTCATGGATTGTCAAAATCATTTATCAACTCAAAACCATGAATATCTCATAAATTATTATTATCTGTTTCTTAATTCAATTTTTTAATTATATGTTTCTAAAAAATTTTTATAAATCATATTTTTTTGTTACATAATTGATTTTTGACATGATAAAAAGTGTTTGAATATTTTTTTAAAAAAAACTATAATTTTAGATCCATAATTAATTTTAACATGTAGAATGGGTGTTTAAATATTTTTTTAAGAAATATGATTTTAGATTCATAGTTAATTTTAATATATAATAAAAATGTTTGGATATATTTTCATAAAACTATAATTTGGACCATTAAAAATGACTCCTAATGTTATCCAAACAGGTGCAAATGCTTGCAATATATACGTAGGGAATGCATAAATCTGTAGCGTTAAACCAGGTTTGAAACAATTTGGTCAAAAAAAAAAAAAAAAACCAGGTTTGAAACAAGAGAGCACGAAATTTTCAGGATGAACGGTGATGAAGTTATGGGAGTATATTAGGCCAGTGTGGAGGAGTCACACGGAAAACTCATCTCTGAACTAATTTTAAAACTGTGGTGGCACGTGCCGGCCGGCTACAGCAGTGCGAGAAGGCGCGGAATCCAGATCCGATGACCATATCTTCCCGTCAAGACCGGGACCTCTCGTCTGGAATCTAACGGCCGAAATGTCACCTCGAGATCCCTCCGTTCATTACGATCCAACGGACCAGCTTGATTGTAGCGACCTATCTCCACATTGCTCGATAAAAACACAAAACCCAGCACTAAGATTTCTCATTTACCTTTGGTGTCGAGTCCTCGTAGGACTATTTCTTTCTCCTGAACCTAAATACCCAATTACCGAATTTTAAAAAAAGAACACAAAAACTGTTATACGTTTCTGGTTCTTCCCTCTTGCTCTTCTCCTTTTCAGATAGAAAGTTCAGTTGCAGTCGAACGTGTCACAGTCACTGCTTGCAGAGCCCCGCCTGAGATGTTGTTGCTCCCGCCGGCACCTGAAACCACTCTTTTGATAAGAATATCGCGGTACCGGGAAGGTCAATAGGGAAAGATCCGAAAGCTCTCGTGGGACCCAATTTTTCCCCATGGAAGGTCAGAAGAGCCAGACCAAACTCACCAGAACTAACTCTTCGCTTCTTCGCTCGTCGCCCACAATCCGATCATCCATTCACAGCCTCTCGTCGGTCAACGAAGAGGACGTTATCCTCACTGCGCAAGACGAAGAGGAGATTAAGGTCAAGAAGCCTCGGAAGTCCGGTTCAACCGGGTCGACCCGAATCACTACCCCGGTTCTTGCCGTTGCCTCTCTGGGTTTCTTTTGCTTGTGTTCTTTGTTCTTTTACCTTTTCTATTTTTTCTACCTCGGGAGTGCAGAAATACCCACTTCGGAGAATTTATTGTTAGCCCTGATTTTCATCGCCGTCGCCCTCTACTTTGCGTCCAAGAACAAGAATCTGATCCGCCAGAGCCTTTCAATTCTGAAGCATTCGTGGGATGAGAATGTGAAAAGGTTCGGGTTTTCGAAGTCTAATTCCAAGCCTGTTCACTGGTTCATCGGGGATTCCCCTGCCACCAAAGGCCAAAAAGAGAAGAAAATTATAAGGGAAGGGGTGGAATTTTACAGCAATGGTGACTTCTACGAAGGCGAGTTTCATAAGGGAAGGTCTAACGGCAGTGGGGTTTACAATTACTTCGTAAACGGGAGATACGAGGGCGATTGGGTGGATGGAAGGTATGATGGATACGGAATTGAGAGTTGGGCAAGAGGCAGTCGCTACAAGGGACAGTACAGGCACGGTTTGAGGCATGGCTATGGGGTTTATAGGTTCTACACAGGGGATTCTTACGCTGGGGAATGGTTTAGTGGGCAGAGCCACGGTGTGGGAGTCCAGACTTGCTCCGATGGTAGCTGTTATATTGGCGAGTTCAAGTACGGCGTCAAGCATGGACTCGGGTGTTACCATTTTAGGTGAGTTTCTTCTTTCTGTTCTCAATGGGAATCGGCGAAATTGGGGCTTTGAAGTTTCTGATTCTTAATCGTGGCTTTAAGCATTGGAGATTCAGATGAAAAATTTTAACTTCTGAGTTTGCTGGGTTAAGTTGCATATGTTTTTTATACTTTTCGCCTACTGGTGTTTTGGACTTATAATTCTTAACTATCTCAACCGTAAATTTGCGGATTCCTTTTTTTTTTTTGGTAGCATGCCATATATATTTCGATTGAATCTTTGATGAGTTTGCGATGGTGATTGTTGATTCCTTTCGAGATCCAAATTTTTTTGAGGTTCCTTTTTTTTTCTTTAATATTCATGTTGAATAATTCCTGAGGCTTTCGTCATGTGATCTTCGTTTATCGTTGACTTCTGGATTTCTTCTCATGCACAAGCTTTTGCATCTCGTAGTTTTTGCTTTATCAAGTGGCGACATTTAATATTATGGCACTGTACTTCTCGTCCTCCCTTAACCTTGTCTATTGTTTAAATTAATTATGCATTGAAGCTGTTTGAAGGTTGGTTGTCTTGATTTCTTGGTTGAATAACATGGCCTAGATTGATCTGTCTCTAGTTCAAACTGGATTAGTAACTTGACTGACGCATTGATATCTTTTAACGTGTTTTGTCAGCTAGTCATGTTACTGGCAGCGTTGCAAAGGTTTTTTCTGGCAGTAATTACATGTGGTTGATTTTGGTTGAGCCAACCCTTTGATTGTTTGTGCTGCAGAAATGGGGATAGATATGCGGGCGAGTATTTTGGAGACAAAATACATGGATTTGGGGTCTATCACTTCGCAAACGGCCACTGTTATGAAGGAGCATGGCATGAAGGCCGCAGGCAAGGTTGTGGCATGTACACTTTCAGAAATAGCGACAGGAGATGTGGTGAATGGGATGCTGGCAACCTCAAGCATCCTCTGCCACCACTAACCGATGCTGTTCTCCGAGCAGTTCAGGTATTGGTTACTCCAATAAAAATCTTGGTGCCTGGCATCTGATGTTTGGCCTTCTTTTGATAAACCCTTTTGGGAATGTTTCAGGCGGCCAGGAGAACTGCCGAGAAAGCCATAAACCTGAGGCGGGTGGATGAGCAGGTGAACAATGCAGTAATCGCTGCAAACAGAGCTGCCACTGCTGCTAGAGTTGCTGCTGTGAAGGCTGTTCAAAACAGAATGGATGGAAAATTTTGCGATATTGATGTCTAAGACATCAGGTGCTTTTGGAACTGTAAATTTTACTAATTTTAAGTTCTTGGGAAGAAAAATGTCGCCCCGGTGAGCAAAAGCTCATCTGTGGTTAATGAGGAGAGCATGCTTTTTTTTTTTTTTTTGTTCCGTTCTTTCCCCTACACAGTAACTTGTACATAAGTCCTTGTAAATCATCAATGAAATGAGAATATGAATTTCCAAATGGCTTTTACGGAGGAAATCGGCTGTTTAATTTCAAAGGGAGGAAGTTCCACGAAGTTGCCCGTGGGAAACAACCAATTATAAAAGGACAGTGTTGAAAGCAAAATGGGGGAATTTGGTGAGAAAATCGAAGGAAGGTTTGGTTCATCTTTATCCTTTTAGTAAAGGAGGGAGGATTGAAATGGGTAGAAAGAACGCCCATGCGGACATGTGACTCAAAACGTGGACACGAATAAAGAGCAATGGGGTAAGACAAGTATGCCCGGGCACGGTGACATGAGTGCGCATGGATGAGACAAACGGCCATGGTTGGGATTCAACTAGGATTAGAAGGAAATGGAGATTAATATAAATATCCGCCTTCTGATGTTGCAATCCTAACTAATGCTAGTTCGAGTCCACGTGATGCGCTCTCTCCCATGACAGGCATCCAAATAAAGTTTTTAGTTGAAACAGAGTGGGCACATGATGTTGCGGAATCCTTGTTCCTTAAAGAATAAGGGCGGAAATGAGTCTGACTTCACTATCGTGCATGCCGGATCAAAAAGGCATGTGTGTTGCCGGGTTAATTCTTCAGGTAGATGCTCAAGATTCTCTTCCCCGTACCGTGGCTTATATTTGGAATTTATCTACTTCCAGATTTAGGTCACTTTGTTTAAACTCGGCTGTCCAACCACTCCACAATCCATATGCATCTCGCAAACGTCCAACCGGGGGAAAAAAATCAAGTGTTGTGAAAGAGGCACCATCAGGAGTCCAATAATCCCATAGAGAACTGGTCTGAGTTTTTAATAATGGCGGAAGCAAAAGAAGAAGAGAATCGATGGCAAGAGAGAAGAATAGCTTGCAGAGGTATTATTAATGGTGCAAGTTGCGGTTTCAATTGGTAATTTTATTGTGTTGGTCGCCCAACGAGGGTTCAAGTTGGGAGCACCGCCAGATCGCACCAATAAATTACTAGACCTCTCACGTCTCCGGAGTTTTTATTTCGGTCAAAGTTTCTTCAACAAAAAAATCTTCTGCCGTCCTGACAACCAATAATTTCAAACTCGGGCTAACGCAAGCAGTCGGATTGTCATCTGAAAAAAAAAAAGGTCTAATTAAATTATTTAACCTGTTTTGACAGTTTGCTTGCTTTGATTTGGGTAATTTGTAAAACCTCAAAAACCAAAGCAATTGAATCATTTTGGCCTGTTTTTAATATATATATATATATATATATTTTATTTTATTATTATGTTGCATGTTCAATCACCGGTTTAAGCAGTTAAATCATGAGACTGATTATTAACTTATCTTTCCAGTTTATTATACGGTTCGATGTTTACAACATTGGTGAGAATTATGAGTTGCCCTTATAATGCACACAACTGTAGCATAAAGCCAAGTATTGCTAATAAATTATTATCTCTATTTTAAATTAAAAAATATTTTTAAAGAACATTTAGCGTTTTAAAATATAAAATATTTTAATAAAAATAAAGTTTTATTGATGATAAATTTTTTAATATTATTTTATATATATTTTTCTTTTTAATATTGTTTCACCGGTGGAACATTAATAAATAACATTTTTGAAATTTTATATTTTTATTTTAAAAAATAATATTGTAAATTATATTTAATAAAATTTATTGGTATGTGTAGTGTTTTTAAATTTGCCATGGGAGAGTACTATTCATTAAATTATTGATATAGTGTGGAAAAAATAAATTTTCTAATTTAATTTTATTAAATACATCATTTTTAAAATGTTTTCTTTCTCATATGCAATATTTTACTCTACTTCCAAAATTGTAAAGGAAAAAAATTGAAGAAGTTAATTAGTTGCATACTCCTTCTAGCAGAGAGAGAGAAGGTTTTTTGTTTTCTTCTATTTACAACTTATATTATTAAGTTTTTATGATAAATTTTTTCATCCACCCTTTATTGAATGATGGAAAAAATATGTTGTAAAAATACATATATATTTGATATTAGTAAAAGTAAAAAGTTATTAAATTTGTAAACAAAGTTAATAAATTTTAATTTTTTAATTCTACTTAAACATGTTTAAAAATAATTTATAAATAGTAACGTCAAATTATGTCTGAAGTAAGGAAAAGATTTCCTTGTTGCGTTGAGCATGAGACGCAGGTCATGATATATTGAGCCGGTGGGCCGTGGCTTGCATCAAAATTTACAGATGTATGGAGAGATTTTAGTTGTAATTTATTTGGTAATCTGATTCAAAGCCAAATTTGGCAGAAGCCAAAAGCATGCGGTGCACTGCAGGAATAATCCAGTGCAGTCGTGTGTGAAAAGATTTCATCATAACTCGCTTTATAGGCACAGTACAGTAGTATTCTACCCACTCCCGAGCCTAGCACGCTCGCTACCTAATTAACGAGGACATTAAAAATAATTGCCATCACAGCAAGCCAGCAACGCATCACGTGACTCCGAGAAAGCAAGATTCTCCCAAACGTGAGATCCAGTGAAAATCTCCCTAACTACTTTATGGAAAGTAGGATATATATTTAAACTTGGATCCATTGTTTCGTTCAACAAAATTACTTCCTCCCCATTTTTGCATATGCTGATTCTTTTTTATTATTAAATCCAAACAAATACATATTAAAGATCTTAAAAATCCAATATCAAACTTGTTTAGAATCCCAATTATTTTAAAACTTATAAAATCCGCGCTGTGTAAAGTTTAACCAACTGGACAAATTTTCATGCATGAAATTCGAAAATAAATTATATTATTCATATATTATAAATATGTTTGAATGCTGCTACTCCCGGACTCCAATATAAGTTGTTTTCTATCCAAAATATAGAATATTGGGAAGGCGTGACTCCCTTGAAAGGCATTGGTTAATTCAAAGTTCTAAAAACGTTTTAAAAATTAAAATTACATCCTTTTAATTATATTCTTATTGAATATTCTATATAAGTATCTTAACATTAACAATTAAAATTTCAACACATTATTTTTTTCAAAAAAAGTAATAAATGAAGAAAAATAATTATAAAAGTCACTCAATGTTCTATATTTTAGACCAAACAAGGCTTTTAAAAAATGTTCTATATTATAGTTTGTAGTGAGTATATGTTTGTTTTCAATTGCACCCAAACTTTATCGAGTAATTAATAAAATCATTTTAAATAAGTCAAATGTTATATTTATAAGAGAAACTGTTACTTTTAATTCGTTTTTATATAAGCAAAATTATATTTTTCAATAGTTATTTATTGTAAATTTTGTAAATTACATCTCATAATTTTGTTATTCACAGTCAAAAAAATAATTAATAAATATTTGATTAACACAATTAAAAAATGATATTGTAGTTTAATTTTTTTATTTTCAAATCCAGTTAATATAATTAAATAATTTTTTTAAATTGTATAATAGTAATTTTTTTGGCAAATAAAAACAGAAAGAGCAGTGAATAAATAAATAAAACAGGAGCAGGCGGGAGGCGGGAGGCATGTCTGGCTCTTGCTTTCATTCTGCATAATGGATACGCATTGCGCTGTTGTCATTGTCCCCTCCATCAATGCCCTCTTCTTTATCTCTTCAATTTTTTTTTTTTGTGATTAAATTATTGGGACCTTCCAGGTCTTGTGTGAGTTTGCCTCGCGCCGAAACGCCAAATACAAATTATTGCAACGATTAATTTGATTGTCACCCTATTCCTGTCACTTCTATATATAATTATTTTTAACTAACTCACTAAAATTGAAATAAGTTAATAAATTATCTTAAATTTACATCACTATCTGTTTCTATCCCTAAACAGAACCTTGTTTGAATATTTTCATGTTGCATTAAAATGTGGTTATGAAGGTTTTTCCAGAATAATTCACTCAATCTTTCGTGTTTTCTTTCTATAAAGTATCCGATAATATAGGATGATAGGAAGCATGATTAAATAAGCGATGCTTGGGCATCACTCCCGCAAATGTTTGAACGGATAACTCAATCATGTCTTGATTATTTTCTGTCTATTTCTGATATATAATACATGAATTATTTTTCTTTTTTCTTTTTCGTAATAGATATCCTGTTTCCTTTTGTTCCTCACGCACTTGTGAAAACATATTTAAAATATTAAAAAAGAAGGATTAGCGGAGTCAACAGGGCTAATCGATTGGTTGGTGTTTGGAGAAGGGGGCCAACGACTACCAGTGATGATTGTGTTCTGTTTGGGCCAAACGGAATGGTCCATGTGGCATGCTATGATTGCCCCAGGACGTCCATTGTAAAGATGCACGGTAAAGTTATTGTACCAGAACCTAACTCTTTTGCATCCTTTCCTCTTGCTTTCGATCTAATAAAAAAAAAATTTCTCCATAATAATGCAAACACCATACATGGTTTTGCCAAACTATATTCCAATAATTTAATCACTCTGGTCCCTCACCATGCAGATGCCATTGCTCATACTCTTTCAAATTATTATCACTATTTTTTATTTTTTAATTATGGTATGTAAAAATATGGAATTTTTGTTATATTAGACATGTCTCGTAAAATTATTTTTAGAATTACAGAGAATCACATTGCTTGTGTCGTTTCTATTATTGACTGCTAGAGGCGACAATTCCAAAGAGAGATCGCTCTGTTTGTTTTAGTCCCGAGAAAACAAGTCCTAATTTATTGGCTTGCCCAGTTTGAGGTCGACTTGGAGATTTTCAGATTTACCAAAAAAAAAAAAAAGGAAAGAAAGAAAAGAAAAGAAAAGGAGCACCGAGCAATAGTGTGACTTTTTTCCTTGGCCAGATTCGAAAGTGCGACTTGGGGCTTCTTTGGCGACTTATTATGAAAATAATTTTTTATTTTCCAAAATAAAAAAGTTAACAAGTTTATTTGATAATATGTTTTTAAAAAATGTTTTGAAGAAAAAAAATCAAACATTGTTTTTAAAAAAATAAAAATATTTTTTAGATCTAAAATTATTGTTTTAAAAAATAAAAGAGAATATAAAAGGCACCTGTGTTCATATATTTAATTTAGCCAACATTTTA